TGAGCCCTGACAGCCCTGCAGCTCCAGCCATCTCTCGCTCAGGCTTGTGTGGTGCTGCCACTGGTTCAGCTCATTTCCCTCCCCCACTACCACTTTTCTAGGATGGTTGCGTACCACCTGCCAGGTGCCAATGTACCACAGGTGGTACCCATACCACTGGTTGAAAAGCCATGGTGTAATAGATTAAGGGGCAAATTTCTCAACAGTGACTAGTAACATCTTATTTCGGTTAAGGGACCTGGGGGGAACTCCACTTCCACAAGAACTGTCCCAAATTATATTAAAATGCTAACCTTTTTTTCTTTCCAATTGTTGACTTTGTCTGGAAAGATATCTACACACTAATATTTGTTCGGAAACAGTCTAGGTCTTTTGCTTGCTGGAGAAATTCAGAATACAAAACGTAGAACAGAAATTCAGAAACATTTCCCTAACAGATCCAGGTTGGTGGCCTTATATAGGAAATAATCAAAGAGTGGCTCTTTTCCCCCCTTCTCTCTTCTAGATTGTTGTTAATGATGATGTATTTGAAGGTTCTTTGTTAGGAGCTATGATATTGCATTAACATGTTTCTTCTGATGACATGCAAGTCAGCTTTATGACCTTGGGTTTGCATGTGACTAAAAGAGAAACGGGGATTTCCTAATGCAACAAAAACAGTCTATATTTTAACCAAAAAACTATTAAGAAAGGAGCACTAATAATAATAATAATAATAATAATAATAATAATAATAATAATAATAATAATAATAATAATAATAATAATAAAAAAGTTGGAAGGGACCTTGGAGGTCATTGAGTCCAAGCCCCTGCTCAGGCAGGAAACCCTACACCATTTCGGACATATGGCTGTCCAGTCTCTTCTTAAAAACTTCCAGTGTTGGAGCATTAACCACTTCTAGAGGCAGGTTGTTCCACTGGTTAAATCATTTCAGCTTGCCTCATATAAAGCTTCCTTACAAATTTAAACATAAGGTTCTGACATTTCACAAATGGATGCAAGAATGTCAACATTACCAAGATATGCTTATAATTACAATGACTATCATGACTTTGGGAATATGCTTTCAAAGTATCACATTTTAAAATTCCAGATATTTTCCCCCTAGGTTGAAAGATGACCTCTAAATGTTTCCATTGATTAATCTCCTCCAGAGCTTATGAATCATTCATATTTTCCTAATTTGGCGTGAGAATAATGGCAGTTGTTTCAGCTTGAGAATTTTCCTTAAGGTTAAGACTGTTGTGCTTGAAATTTATATTATGTTGCTGTTGTTATAATTAATCCATCTCATATTACTATTTTATATCTCTAGTTAAGGATTGGAGGATTATACCAACCAATAAATCAAATGTTAGGCATATCTGAATTGCACGTGTCCTATAAAACTCTTTAGTTGCATTGTAATTGTGTAGTTGTCTTTAACTGTATGGTTTTTAACTGAATTAGCTGCTTCAAGTTTGTAATCCCCCCATTGTTTTATTTAATTGAACGATATCAACAATAAATCAATATACGTGAAGTTCTTGAAGAAATAAACTCATTGATTGTAATTAGAAGATTAAATAAATTTGGGTTCACACATGTTTCCAGTCTTTCAGCTTTCCTAAAATATTTACAAAGTTTTTAAAAATAATATTAAAGATTATAATTGCAATTGTAAAAAATTAATATAAACTAAAAGAAAGAAAAGAGTAGAAATAGTAAAGGAAAAAGTGCAATGGCAAAGAAAAAAAGAGGAAAATTAAGAATATATGAAGAAAAGAAATATATAAAGAAGTGACTTCTAAGTTTCATCATAACAAGTATAAACATTTTAGTAACTTTTTACCAGGTCTTAATTTGCAAGCAATGATCTAATCATTCTGTCTCATCCCACCTCTTAACTATAAACACATTCATAAATATTGTCATTTCAGTCCTTATATTAACAAAAATCTATTAAGAATTACCAGAAATAACAATTTAACTACTGTATCAAATAAACCAACTTTATATTCCTTCATTTGACTTTAACTATCATATCTTTAGTCCATTTATGTAATGTCATAAAGTTCAATTTTTCTTTATTTCTTTTTTATTCATTCTCCCAAGATTCATCCAAGCTTTAACAAATCTCTTTTGTAAATCCAATATAAAAAAATTATCTAGGTCCAGGACACTCTTGGTTTATTAATTGTAATTCCATTTTGATTTTTAAAGCATCAACCAATTTATTTTGTATGTCCAATTAAGCATTTTTCCCCCATGTCATTCTTGTAGCCTGTTATTTGTAGATCCACTTTTGATGCCATTTCTGTCTTGTCAGATAAAATTTGTTCCTCTTCTGCCATTTTTTCTGAAATGTTATTTGGACACAATCCATCCACAATCAGTATTGACATTGTTGATATTAACTTCTGATTCCATTTTCAAAAATATCCTGCAGTATTTCCAATTGTTACAATATAACCTTTCCAAAATGTTATAATACCTTTCATCATTCTGTAGTTCTTAAGCAGGTTTATGTATTCTTCTCCTTTAATTAAAAACTTTAGTTCCCTCTAGCGTCCAGTTGTTGAAATTGTTATCTCTTATGTATGTTTAAAACCAATCGAGTTTCTCAGAGGAAGGATTCTTTATAATTAATTCTTTATAATTTACCCATTTGAACTTTTCAAAATCTTAATTATCCTTTTGCTGTTTAATTCATTTTTTGTAATTAAAATTTTCTTTCATTAAGGATTGAAGGCAGGCTAATCCAGTGTTTTTAGACTTGTTGATTCAAAGATCCCTAATAGCTGAAAAGTAGTTAATAAGCAATTTCCTACTTGATTAGCAAAGGAAGTGTGCAAACTTAGTATTCCTTAGTATTCCACAAGATGAGCTATTCCCTTGCAAGATGAACAATTCTTGTCTTCCATGGCTCAAAACCTACTAGAGATTGCTGTCTTGAAGTCTGTTCAAGAGGAGCAACTGTCTGGAGCATTTTTGTAAAATCTTCATCCTCCCTTTGTCCAGAGATGTTTGAAGAGCATGTCTTCAGTCCGACTTTTCTTACTCCTGAGGTTTATTCAGTGTTTTATCCAGAATATTTATTAAACATGCAGCCTATTCAATTTTACTAGTGCCGCAATTATTATTATTTTTTCATTTATATTTAATATATACAATATTTAAATTTTACTTTTTTCTGTAATATATTTTGGCTTGTCACATTTTATTTTCTGATATTGGCTTAATTTGCTTCTTTTGGCATCAACAGATTTGGGTGATTGACGGACAGTGATAATTAATTGCATACATACATCTTTAACTTCCCAAACAAACTGTTGTCATAATTCATGAAAAAAGCTAAGTCATTTTTATCTTCAAGCCATCAGGAATAGGCAGCCCTCACTGAACAGGTTTTCTACTACTTTTGCAATATTTACTCAGAAGTAGAATGCAGCCCTTTCTACTGTGGAACAATAAGTGTGATAGTCCATTTTAAATCATTTATATTGCTAGTGCTATGTTATTATGGAGCAGGTTTCTATTCTGAGGTAGCTATTTTGCTTTCAGGTGTCAAATTAATATAAAACAAGGGTTTGGTTAGTTTACTTTCCTGCTCCTAAAAGATCACTTGTATTTTCTGTTGTTGAACTACCCTGTTTAGTCCTTATGCTATAAGGGGTTTTGAATAATTTTTGATTTATTTTTATTCAGTGATTCTCATAATACTGTAGTCTGAGAACCTACCAATTTTTTTAAAAAATATTCTACTTTAATGGTGCCCAAGCCCAAGATTATCAAAAGGGATATCCATTGTGCTTAGATACCCATTGTTCTTATCTGTCTGTGCTAGAGACTGTTCAGAATAGATCTTCAACTTTCTTATAGAGAAAGTAAACAGGATAAGATATTGAATATGGCTCTCTGTTTTAGCTATCATTAACGCTTGAAGCTGCAATGCAGCATCTTATTAACAACAATAACAGAGTTAAGATGCTGTTACCACATTAGTGACTTGGTCATCTAAATATTCTTCTGAGTGTATCTTTTGGGCTGATCAAATAGGTGTATGCCTATCTAAAAAGAAAGATTTGGCTTTAGTGATTCCTATAGGCTAAGCTAGGGGTGTCAAACTGCCGGCCCATGGGCCAAATGCGTCATGCCGAAACAGCACCCACCCCAGCTCCGGCAATGGGGAAAAAGTTGCGATACGTCATGACACGTCACATGAGGTTGCGATTTTGACACTCCTGGGCTAAGCTATTCCAATATTCTGTTCATGACATGGTCTCTGAAGATACACCAGAAACTGCTTCTAACTCAGAGTGCTTAAACACAAGTCCCTCATTATCATTCTATTGCAACTGATTCTCTGTTTGCTGATAATAAAGTTGATCTGGTTTTCCAAGCTATTTAGAGGACATGACCTCCCCCTTACACCTTGGCTCATCAGTCGGCTATTTTTTTTTTTTTTTACAGATACTTCCACAGATACCTTTGACATCAACAATCCATTCCTTTCTTTCCATTGTGCATAAGTGGGTTTTGGGTTGAAGTTTGGGCACTTGGTCTCTAAAAGGTTCACCATCACTGGCTTAGAAGGAGGTTCATAAGTTAGTTATTTCCCTAGAACCTAATAACAAGAAAGAGCACATGAATCTAGGTTTGGGGAGGCAATATCTCAAGAACAAAATTTATATTTTGGAGTAGATGACCTCCAAGGTCCCTTCCAACTTTATTATTATTATTATTATTATTATTATTATTATTATTATTATTATTATTATTATTATTATTATTATTATTATTATTATTATTATTATTATTATTATTATTATTATTATTATTATTATTATTATTATTTTCTTGCCACATATTAGCCCAGAATTGGATACTAACAATAAGTTTAACAGGATTATGTACAATATCAGGCCCTTTCACTTCTCAACAGTTGATAAATGTTAATGCTGCTCTTCGGCTGTTTTATGTTTCCTTCTTTTTTTTCATTCCTTTTGCTAATTTAGATGCTGCACAACAAACATGTAATGGTTCGTGTAGGAGGAGGATGGGAGACATTTGCAGGATACTTGCTGAAGCATGACCCCTGCCGAATGCTGCAAATATCCCGGGTGGATGGCAAAACCTCCCCCATCCAGAACAAGTCTCCAACTATCAAGGACCTGAGTCCAGACAGTTACCTGGTGGTTTCTGCTCATTACAAAACCAAAAAAGAGATTAAGTGAAATTGCCTTCTCATTTTTTTGCGGGACTTGGTATATGTAGACCCACACTATTCTTCATGTGTAGTCAAATTAGTTGATGCTTTGAAAGGACTTCTGGACTTAACATGCAGACTGGAAATGACAACCCATTTCATGGATTGTTGAGCGGTAGAACTATTTATTTCTAGTACTGTGCCTTTTCTTAGCAAGTTACTCTTGGTAGGTTAATTATGAAAACCAGATTTTTTTAAGACAGACATATTTTTTAGCCTAATTATTACTCTATGAATGTACTCGTAGGTTGATTAAAACAATATGGCTCATGTTAAAAAAAAATGAAATGGTAGAAATTTGATTGAAAAAGCAGTAGGTATGATTCCCAATAATTTGCCACAGCAAAGAGTTATATTCAGCTTAGTAGGAAAAAAGCAGGGCTGGGGAAGGATAATGTAATGGGAAAAACATCTGTCTTAGGCCTGGAGAGCTAATAGCATAATAGACAATGCCAGAGAAATATATTCGAATGGCTTCACCTATTTTGTTCAAAGAAAAACAGCTCTTTGTTTGTGAATTATATCACGTACAACTCCATTGTTGTTTGTAAAACATTATTCACGGGTTAATATTTAAATATGTGAACAGCCAATTTAATTTCCTCAACACATCAAGACAGGTCACTACAGATTAGCTGTATGTATCAAATTGATGAGTTTATTCCAGGCTGACTCGCATATTAAAGGAAGCTGATCTATACACATATTCATATTAAACGAATGGGACATTGTTTGGGAAAATATATACTTGCATCAGGCAGACCCATATCCATAAGTAACCGCTGGGTCAATATGATAGCCCATCTACAAAATGAAATTAAAAAGAAATAATAGAAATCCTCTGTAAATGAGAGGCCAATGCTTATTTTGTTTATTCATATCAGAAAGTAGCTTATGCTGATATATGCTGTGAGTTTGTCAATTATGTCTACCTCTGGCATGTCTCAAATAATGTCAATATTGCTGGAGGCTCTAAAGCAGAATGACAAGCCCCATTTGGGAGCTGGTTTACTGAAATAACAACTTTCGCTCCATTCAAAACACAACACTAATGACATGGTAAAAACACAACAAAGATTCCCAGAAAGCCAGGATTCATGCAGTAGGTAGATCACAAGTTAATATTTTAACTACGTTGACAGTTGCAAGAAATAGATAAGAGCATCTTTGTATTATTGAGCTTTTAGAACCAGCAGATGTTTTGAAATTACATACATCTGTGAAAAATTAACGGGATGGTTTTAAGTTACCAATTTCATTCAGGATTGTTTTTCATATTAAACCTCAGATACGTACAGACTGCTGACCCAGTGGGATACTCTCTCCTTCTGAATTCCATTATATTTGGCCATACCAGGAAAAAAAATGAAAATAATATGTGCTATTCTCTGTAGATAAATAACAGGAAGGGGATTGCCATATACATCTCTGTGATATATGCAAATGCTGGGGTTTGGGTTATATGTTTTGCTAATTTTCCTTGACTATACTTGATAACTTTGTGCCTTGCTAGGAAAAAAAAATCATTGTTCAATAATTAATTGAATGATGACTGTATAAATGATGTGATAAGCTGAAATCACATGGTGTATTAGAAATAAAAATACTTTAAAAAACACTTCTAGGAACTCATTTTTTCTAATAATAATAATAATAATAATAATAGTAGTAGTAGTAGTAGTAGTAGTAGTAGTAGTAGTAGTGATAGTAATAAAGTTGGAAGGTACCTTGGAGGTCATTTAGTCCAACCCCCTGCTCAGGCAGGAAACCCTATACCATTTCAGACAAATGGCTGTCCAGACTCTTCTTAAAAACTTCCAGTGTTGGAGCATTCACCGCTTCTGGAGGCAGGTTGTTCCACTGGTTAATTATTCTAACTGTCAGGAAGTTTCTTCTTAGTTCTAGGTTGCTTCTCTCTTTGGTTAGTTTCCATCCGTTGCTTCTTGTCCTGCCTTCAGGTGCTTTGGAGAATAGCTTGACTCCCTCTTCTTTTTTTATTTATTCATTTGCAACATTGCAAATGAATAAATGAATGTAATGAACTTTTTTGATTTTTGCACTTATATATAAACCAAGTCTCCAAAAGTGATGGCCCTATCCATGAGAATAGCCATGATACAGCACATTTTTGTCACCACTGCTCCAATTCAGTTAAGACCTTGAGAAATGGATAACTCAGCATTTAGTTGAGGGGTTAGTTTTTCGTTAGGCTTATTTGAAAAGTTGTTTTTGTCTGTCCTAGACCTTGGGGTGGATTTCCCAACACATAAAGAATACAAAAGTATTCTTTATTCTTTATTAACACTGATGGTGTTACTTAGTTAGGGTAATGAAATGTCTGCAAGAAAACAAGCAAGCTCAGAGAGAACCCCTCATTACAAAAATATTTGTTGTGAAAACTCCCTTACCACAAAAATAGCACTGAACAGCCCAGCAACCAAACAGAAGAAGAGGGCCCCACAGCTGCCCTGGCAGACCATTTGGAGCCAATCGGATTGCTAATCTCAACTATGTTTATCTTAAGGTACTTTGTGATTTCATGTCCATGTGGAATGTTGGTACATCACGGAAAACACCACTGTTACATTGGTGCAATAGGTGGAAGCTTGTCAGAGGGAAATGCAATCTGGAAATAACGTGGAATTTCCTGTCAGTAAGAACAATTAATCAATGCAACAGCTTGCCTCCTGAAGTTGTGGGTGCGGCATTGCTGGAGGTTTTCAAGAGAAGATTGGACAACATCATGAAAATGTGCCCCCCCCCCAAGAAATGGTTAAGTGGGATAGCTGTGCTGGAGCCACAAGGCTACTCAGAAGAACTCAATAATAGGCAATGCTCAGGGAACCAAAAGCAGAGAATCACATTTGAATGTACTGTATAAGTCACGGGTGTCAAACTCATGATGTCATGTGACGTGTCGTGACTTTTTTCTCATTGCCGGCAATGGGGTGGGAGCGGTTTTGGCGTGACGCATCCGGCCCGCGGGCTGGCCGTTTGATGCCCCTGGTATAAGTAAAGCCAGATGCCTTATCACATTTTAGAAGTAGAGAATTATTTATAGGATGGAGGCTGCAATTCAATTTTCCCAATTAGGGAAAAGGACCAAGGGAGACCTGACAATATGATGATCTCATCATTGATCTTAAGGTTGGAAATTGACATTTTATCTCATATACACCTTACATCACTTTTTTTTTTACAAAAATAATAATAATAATAATAATAATAATAATAATAATAATAATAATAATAATGATGATGATGATGATGATGATGATGATGATGATGATGATGATGATGATGATGATGATGATGATAAAGTTGGAAGGTACCTTGGAGGTCATCTAGTCCAACCCCCTGCTCAGGCAGGAAACCCTATACCATTTCGGACAAATGGCTGTCCAGTTTTTTCTTAAAAACTTCCAGTGTTGGCACATTCACCGCTTCTGGAGGCAGGTTCTTCCAAATATGCAACCAAAATTAGTCCTTTCACTAATATTACATCAGGGTGCTTCAAAGATTGTAAATTAAAAGCTGGACAGTACTTGCAGCATATGACCTTCAAATTGCTCATCCATATTTTAGAGTAACTGCATAAAGCAATTTACTTGCAATCAATAATTAAATTACATATTTGGCCCAGCACTAGACCAATAGAATGTTATTTTAATATACTAGGAATGTCTATCAAGGGGTGCTGTTTATTAAGCATTCGAGTTTTCAGGGGAGTAAGTGTTAGAACCAATTTAGAGTCACTAGTTTGTGAGATGAGCTATGTACATTTGAAAAATAAATAAAAATTACTGTTTCTCAGACAAGTGGTCATTTGGTCTTTAATACATTGACAATCTACTAGGAAAAAATGGCATAGGATAGATAGCATGCTGTGAATGCGCCAATCCTGGAAGTTTTTAAGAAGAGATTGGACAGCCATTTTTTCTGAAATGGTATAGGTTTTCCTGCCTGAGCTGGGGTTGGACTAGATGACCTCCAAGGTCCCTTCCAACTTTATTATTATTATTACCTTTTGTTTAAATGCTGTGTACAAACCCCTCTTTAGGAGGGTAGAGAGGTTTTAAATCAGACCAAGTACGTTTTACCTCAATTTTATTTAAATAGATCTTTAAAATTTTATTTTAGTATAAGTTGGTTTTTGGATCTTCCCACCCACACCAGACCTTAACCCAAGTCAAGACACAGTCCTGTCACAATGTGGTCAATGTGGAAAGGTTGTAAATGAGAGTTCCCCTACTAGTTCCAATAAAGCCAAATTTCTAGATATAAAAATGACAGCAGGAAAGGAGACAAGGAAAAATAACAATTGTACATAAGAGAATTCCAAGTAAAATCAATAGGCAGTTTAGTCAAACTGCTTCTGTTTGCTTGCCTGAGATCTTGGTTTATGGTCATGGCAAAGGTTATGGCAAAGAGAGGTTGGAAAGGGAGCATCTACACCATGGGTGTCAAAACTCGCCACGTCACGTGACGTGTCGCGACGTATCATGACTTTTTGCATTGCCAGCAATGGGGTGGGCGTGGCTTCGGTATGATGAAACCGGCCCGCAGGCTGGCAGTCTGACACCCCTGATCTACACATTCTCCTAGGCAGCTTATATAAAGGCCTTTATTGTTTCTCTTCTCTTTCCACCCTCTTTCAGGGTTTAAGTCAGTTTTATATGTAATTGAAAAACAGTTGTTTTGCATTGACCGCTGTTCTGTTCAGTGAAGGACAATGAGCCATTGATAATGTCCATCCTCTAGCCAGCAAATGAGAAATTACCTAGAATAGTGCTTCTCAACCTTTACAATCTTCATAAATCCATTTCCTAAAAGTTCTCACATAGAATAAAATTATGGATTCAGGAATAATTCTAATCTCAAAATGGGACTTTAATCATGGTTTTGCACCATTTTTCCAGAGGGATTTTCTGCATAATAAAAACAATCTAGAGATGGTTCAAACAAAATTGTTATTGGTACATTGGTATTAAATTAACAAAAGCAGTAAAAGAGAATGGTATAAATGCCCATTTATCATGAGATTTTAATTGATTATACTTTATTTAATGCAATAACACTATAATGCATAAAGATCCACGTGGGCACCAAATAATTTATTAGGTCAACTAAGAGAAAAAATGCTACTGTTAATAAATGAACAAATTTATCATAACCCAGTAACTGGAAACAAAATAAAAAATTTAAAATGGCACTATTATTTCATAGGACTCTAAAGAACTTCAGAAATAAATTGGAAAAGATGCATTTGAGCACAAGAGTACATCTGCTTGCAAATCTTTAAACCTGCCACATCAATACCTAGCTAGCCTCTGCAGCTGCCTCATGATCCAGGGAAATGGTGTGGCTGCTTTAAAGAGATGCAACAGATACTACATTAATGACACTCAAAGCACTGCAATAATTTAACAGCTTAAATTTCAGCTAGTTTTATTACAATGAAAGTATGAATTCCTGAATTCCCATTAAAATTCTTTAAACACTTAATACTGGATTTATATGCACAAAAGAGAAAGAGGAAAGTATAAACTGTAAAATATGAAGATTTCAACATTTTTTTTAAAAAAGAAGTAATTGTAATAGATTAGAAAACATCATACTTTACTGAAAAGGTTAACTTAACAGCAATCCGTTTTAGCTACAATGATTTATATCACATTTTAAGTGGGAAATTTATTATTAGCCAAATTTTTGTCAAAGAGTCATTATTTTTTCATATTTGTCTAGGATGGAAAGAGGAAGAATCAGAAAAAAAATAATTCATTTGCACGTTTTATTCTCTCCGACATATACAGTACCCATATGTACAACACTTGTTATTACTTTTAAATATATTTCTGAAGCATTTTTTTTTTCAAAAAATCAGTACCTATAATATTGGGAATAAGTAAGAAGCAACTATCTTTATTTCTGATACAAAGCAAGATAAACTGCACCTTCATTTCTCTCATAAAAGTCGATACTACTCCTTGCTTAAAATTCAAGATGTGTGAACACTTCCTATATTAGTTTAGAAGTTCAACAAATTTACTGTTTCTTTCCACATCACTTCCAGGTAAACTGCAAAGGGTGTTATGGGAGAATAATCACATAATATGTTTATATTTATTCCAGTATGTTAATACGAATGACTATATAAATATATTTTTACACTGGATGTAGATGCAGAATAATATCCTCCAACCAGTTTTTAAGAATTAAAAAAGTAATTTCTATGAAGAAATTTCATCACAAAGAAGTAGGATCATATAGCTGTCCTTTCATGAGTTTTTCACACCCAAGTGGTAAAGGAGAACACCTGTAGGTATTCTTTTCACTTCTTATTTTAAAAAATAAGAGTCCAGTATTTTGGCCTGTATTTTTGTAAACCCTGCACATAGGCATAACACGTGTAAAACTAAGACACAAGGATAGGGATTTTTTTACCTCATGGCAATGCAGCAGTTAAATGTGTAACCAGCAGAAGGCACTAAAGCTTTGATTCTGAAGTTCTTACTTTTAAAACAAGCCTGTTGGTTTCAGGCATTTAATCCACTGAAAGGGATTCAAGGATTGTGGAGTGGATTGAACGGAATCATACAAGTATAACATGGGGATGCTGCAACGGTCGTAAGTGGGAAAAATGGCTTAAGTCATTTTTTCAGTTGTAGCTTCAACTGAAACAAATCAGTTTGTCAACCTTCAAACAAATGGTTTTAAGTGAAGGATTACCTGTATATATATTTAAAGATCATTGGAACAAGTATAACGGGGTAAGAGGGCAACAAGTTTAACAAGGGGCACTTTGGAAAACAGAATTGTTCCCCATGATCACAAAAGCATGAAAATGTCATCTGTTTACATTCGTAATTCCCATAATTCACCCCTACAGTACATTTAGACATGCAGCATTACACAATAGGGCAACACAAACAGGAAGTGATTGGTTTAGGGCATCTTTGCTGGATATTGTGAAGTTTTGTTTCATCCTTAGTGCATGTATGTCAGCTACCCTGCTACAATGGCAAAATACTGCTGCATCTTCAGAGGCAAACAGCGAAAGCTAGACAATTAACAAGTTTGATTCATCTGTAGCAACTGGCAAGTTATTGGCAAGACGAAGCTTCATCCTTCTTCATTCTGAAGCTGCTCAGTATTTTATCCAACCTGCCACTAAAAGCAAATACACAGAAACAAACATTAGCTACTTTTTATGTGTAAGGACATTATTCAATTTTTTATCTGTGAGCATAACCTTGTTTTATTCCAACCCTCGTCTCACCTTCCCACGTTACTTTTAGATTATGAAAAATCTTCCTTAAATATAGTATTTTGAAAAAAAGAAGAAGCAATAATGCTTGTTTTCTAATGCATTTGAGTTTTATTGTATTCCAAATAACAACTCCAGACCATGAGTATATGTAAAGGAAGCAAATGTATATAGTAGAGAAAGAAAGATAAGTTGTTGTGCAAGAGAAGTAAAGATTTATGCAGCAATTACAATGATCACATTTAAAATAAAGTCTATGTGAATCCGTCACACTTATATACTGACATTAGCCTAGCTATTTCAGCTTTAAATGAAATTCCTATCCAAAAAAGATGGGAGCACTCCAGAACTGTCCCAGCAATCTCACACTTAGTGTTGATAAAAATTCTTGGTCATCCTGATAGAATTGTCTGGAAGTGAAATGTCTGTTAGTTTGAAGAAGCTACTTGGATAAGCAGCAAAAAGTTTCAAACCAAAAAAAGAAAAGAAGTCCAGTTGCTATGACTCAACTTCCAGACATCTCTAGCTCGAGACTCTACCTCAAATTTATACACAAGAAAGCAATGATCTTGCCAAGATAATTGATCAGGCCATCTTATGCTATGAACATGGTACCGGACGTGTGAATAGGGCTTAAGGCACCAGGAACCGATTCCACTGAGAGGTTTTTCCGCAGACCGGAGGGGGCGTGGTTTTGTGTGCTGCCTGCATCCTGTGGATGGGGCTTTACTTGTTTGTGCGGACCGGTTGCTGGCATGCCATGGCCCGGTACCGGTCCACAGACCGGGGGTTGGGGACCCCTGGCTTAAGGGATCTGTCCAAGCGATTTCAATTGTCTGGCCAAAATGCTAAAGTCATTTATCCTAAAGTTTCAATACATGAAGAGACACTTAAAAAGGGTGACTGATATCAAGCCAGGTACATTGACACATTTTATGAGATACTGAGGGGGAAAAAAATAAGAAGAAAGAGCCTTAACACCCTGTCTATTAGACTGGCAATATAAGAAACAATAGGCTGGAAGAGTCTGGCCTTTGATCTTATCCATCCAAATTTGATTCTTCACTTCTTACCCTTAGATTGCCTCCTTCTGGTCCCTGGGTTCCAGATTCAAGACGTTTCTCCATTTCTTCTTGTTTTCGTTTTTTTTGTTCCACAGAAGAGAGATTCTTAACACCACGAGATGCAGCCTTTGGGAAAGAAGCGACAGGGGCATTACATTACACCCCACGTTTCTACAATCACAGCAAAATAAATTTAATTCTCTAATCCTGTATTCCATATGAAACTCCAATAAATCTGTATTAAGTTTACATAACCAGACTTAGAAGAGTGATAACATTTGACTGTAAAAGCATGGGCCTCAACCAAAAAAAATCCGGTAAGAAAAAAAAAAGGCCTTTGCCTTTTGCACAAGTTTTATTCGTTATTTTTCCCCCCAGAAATGAGGAGGGCCAGGAAGCATATTTTGAAGCCTCTTTGAGAAGAAATTCTCAGTAGGGTTTTTTCTTCACCCATAGGTGGCTATTTTATTACTTTTATTTATTACATTTATATGTCATCCATTTCACTGATAAGGTGATTCTTATAAAATATGGGTGAGAAAATATGCTATACATGTTCTTCCTTTGATAAGTAGAATTATTGCTGCTTATCATCAGTCACAACTGTCTTACGGATGCTCTATTTCTGTTCACATTTTCTCTAATACAGATGTTAAAAAGAAACAATTGACTGGAATTTCACACCTGCTCAAAGCAAAGACAGAACTTCTCATTCCACTGAAGAATGGAAAAGACTTAACCACACCCACTGCACTTCCATGTCAAAAAAGAAAAAAATAGCATTGCCCAGTTAGCTGTTACTTCAGTTATTTTTTTTCTATAGAATGGAACTTACCTATTGAAGCCTAGCGTAGAACAAAAGGCAATGAAACAGGAACAAACATTTTTCTTGTTTAAAAAGAAGGGGTCTGGGCCTTGTAATCATGAAAAGGACTGGGCAGATATCTATATTTCTTTGCCCTACCCAAATCTATGTCTGCAAAAGACTAGCTAGTTTTTCCCTTGCTTTGGGGGATAATCCCCATTTTCCATTCATTTTTTAAGCTATCTACAGACTCAGCCACCGTGTCATGGAAGAAACTGCCCTAAAATTCACAGAAGAAATTAAGATTATTTTTTTCAGAATGTGTCAGGGAATACTTTAAAAAGCTGTCTTAACTTGCATTTATTTTTTTCCCTGTTGCTTTTGCTGATCTTATGCCAAAACTAAATGTGTAATTTCCAAAGACTTAATTTTGGTATTATTTCACAGGTTCTCTCCTTTGCTGCAAAGAAGATGGCAGTGACAGTGAGGGATTTGTGCGAGAAAAATGTATAGCAGTGGTGAGGACACCAAATGGGAGACATCCCATTACTAAGAAATGGAATGGTTCAAGCGAAGAGTCATTTATAAGTATTAGCTTTTTGGTCAACATTCAAATATTAGGGCAAACTTTGAGCAGTACCTTAGAAAGAACACCAATCTATCAGGAATCCTGAACGTTGATATTTTTCTTTATTTAAGTCTGTGATATCTGCACATTTAATCTTGATATTCCCAGCCCCACTCCTCTCCATACTCACTGGAATAATAAATTTGAGCTACTTCTGTTACCTCTTCTTGTGCTTCTTCAAGGACATCATAATATTTGGATAGCTTGACCTAAGAGCCTGTTAATCTACAGGTCTTCATCTACAAATTACTGTGAACTACTCCCCTAACACTATTGCAAACATCTCGTTGCTTCTTACTACACAAATATATGATCTTACTACACTTCTCATTACTGGGTACTTATTTTTTTGAAAGTTAGTTGCAATTATACCCATTGCAATGATATAATAATGGCCAGTTTGCACATTCTTAAGGGATGCTGTTTCCAGGAAAGATCCTTCTATTGTCCACATTCATTATACCAGAGGTCCCCAACCTTTTGAGCACCAGGAACCAGTTATGTGGAGAGAGATTTTTCTGCAGACCAGAGGGTGCGTGGTTTCAGGTACTGTCTGCAACCCTTGGATGGGGCTTTGCTTGTTTGCGTGGCCCGGTTTCTGGTATGCTGCAACCCGGTGCCGGTCCACAGACCGGGGGTTGGGGACCCCTGCATTATACAATAAAGTTTTATTTTAATATATTGCTGTTCCAAATATCCAATTACCTCCATTTGTCTTTTTTCTGCTGCTTCTGCAAGTTGCTGCCTTCTAATTTCCTGAAGAAAACATATAAAAATAATTACAAAGGTATTTCACATCACCTATGCAAAGATAAAAGAAGGGATTTTCTAAGGGTTTTTCCAAATATAATAGAACCTTTCAAAATCCTAGAAATGAGCATTGATTGTTTTTTAAATGCCACTTCTGCTCATATTATTTAATGTCGTCAAAGAGAATTGCCAGAGAGAAATCCTTAGTCACCATAAGGAGCTATGTACTTCCACTGCTGGGGGTTCTCTCATCCACATAAAACATTTCACAGGTCATTGAACTGTACATATGAAAGACTAAATGGTGCTTCCAGCTGAAGAAGTGAAAAAGCCTTTTGTTAGCTACTTTTTCTTGGGTTTGTTACTTCTGTTTAGGGCTGAACAAAATTCCAGCCAATAGTTAGAAGTCAAATAAAGCAGCTTGTCTCATCTTCAATTTAAATATGTACCATTGAGAATTACATTTGCATAGAAAAGGCAGATTTTCTGATAGTGCTTATTTATTTTATGTATTTATTAAATTTACATGATGTTCATCTCACCGTTGGGTGGCTTACAATATGGATCCTGCAAGAATATTTTATCAGCTACAAAACAGTCTTAATGTGGTCATTCTTGATAATAGGATATAGGGTTGAATTTCAGTGACTATCCTTGCTAACTTTTGTGTATTGTACATTTAGAACAATAATGTGGAAGGAGATTATAAGAGTGTATTTAGTTGAAGAAACATTCACTCTATCATGGGTAAAAAAAATTTTTGATCCCCTTGAGATGTTCCCAGAAGGCCTCTGGTCCCCAAATAGCTCCCATAAGCTTTCTTAGAAAATTCAAATGGTAAGTGGAAAATGATATTATAACAAGTGATATTGTGGAACTGTGCCTGCTTGCCACAACCAAGAGGAGGGTTAATGCACAGCATCTTGTAGAAAGGGCAGATAAAAGAGGGTCACAAATAGCCTTCTAGCAAATTAGTGCTTATATTAGTGAATATATTTATTTATTTACAGTTTCAACTTCTATAGCTGATCACTTATGTACAACTCTGGGTGGCTTTCAATGGTTAAAAACAATAATATAAAAAATATGGAAGTGGCCATGTCAGGGCAGGTGGGGAGGGAACCAAACAAATAACAGCAAACAACTGAATAGTGGCTCACATATTTTCCTGGCCTACCACCGTGGAATGCTGTTCCAGAGGGCAGAGGCAGCAAAAAATGATGTGATCTGAAGCATACTAACTCAGCTGGAATTTTTCAGGTGGGGTAACTGGAGAAAGAAAAATCTTGCAAATATTCAGGCTCCATGCCGCAAAGGATTTTAAATAGGTTTTGTCCTATGGCAGTTATTTTCTGAATAGGCTAGCTAGCCCTTCATGCTATTTTGTGAGGCAGCCCACAGCATGTCCTCCAGCATGTGTGACTCCCAACCCTTAAAGTTTTGGACCTTGTGCATTAAAGGAAAATGAGTTACTTTACTCTTCTGAAATAAGGAAGTTATTGTGCCAGGATCTTTCAGTAAGCTGGAAGTGGACCACACAGTTGCATTAACTCTTCTTGAACTCACATGACTATTTGGCATCTCCTAACAGTTTCAGTGGAAAGTAAACCTCCAATGCTATGCCAGCCGACTTTGGAATAAAATCTAGTTGTAGAAAATGAAGGACATGCTTTTGCTTGTGGCTAAGGTTTTATTAACTCTCCCTCAAAGCCTGCTGCACACACCAGAGTATTCTCATGCCACCCCAAACATTTCATAAAGAGTGACATTCCTATCCAGATCACTTCATTTATAAATAGATCTGAAGCTATTTGTGCAGCCAAGCAATGATTTGGCATTCCTGGGAATAAAACGAATGTTTTGTAAACAAGCAGACTTTTTCCAGCAGGGTTTATGCATCCAACGTTTTATTGTCCCTTTGGTGTTTTTGAAAGATGGCACTGTCAAATGTGTGTGTGTGTGTGTGTGTGTGTGTGTGTGCGTGTGCGTGTGCGTGTGCGTGCGTGCTTATGTAGCATAGATCACTGGCACTGCAATTTTGGACCTTTGGGTACACACTGATCTGGCTCTTCTAGTGCACAAAGGCAAGATAAGTAAATAACAAAACTGACACGCCCTTCCCTGTGAAAAGAACCGGGGCAATTGATCGCGAATTAAACAGTTTGATTTGGACCACAAAGCACATAGTGGTTTTTAATATTACGAGGCGGAACCTGGGAGTAAGAAAACTCCTCAGGGCTCGGTTTTGGAAAAACCTGAAAAAGAACGGGGTGCTCGTACTTCAAAGCTGTTTTTTTTTTTAAAAAAAAAAAAACGTAATCTAATAATTAGTAAAGAAAAAGCAAAAAAAGAACCTCGGCGAAGGTTTAATAGCATTTTAGAGATGCCTGCATGAAGGAGGGTTTTTTTTTTGTTTTTTGTTTTTTAAAATCAATCTGGAATTTTTCGGAAGGCGGACGCTGAACGACACCTGGGATTGCCCAGAAAAGCCAAAAGGGAGAAGGAGAAACCCCCAGCCACCACGGAACGAGTTTCGGCAGCCCGATCTCGCCCCACTTACTGGGTCCGGCGTCTCCACCACCTGATCGGCGGCTCCCCCCAGGCAGGGAAGGCACAACCCCATCCCGAGCCCGCTGCAACACTCCGCCAGCCAGGCAGAGCCGAGCAGCGAGTCCCAGTCCCGCCGTCCTTTGAGCAGCCTCTTCGCAAGCTACCCGCTACCAGGCTGCCTTCCTGTGCGAACTACGGACGGCGCCACCTGCCGCTCCGGAGCCAGCGGGAAGTGGGAAAGGGCGAGGGAGAGTCACGACCGTGGGAGAGCGCAGAGCCGCGTCTGCATGAGATACGGCGAGCAGGAGAGACAAAAGGAAAGCAAAACTAGCAGAAGTTTAAGAACTTCTGCCGCCGCGGCGTTAGCGGTCACGCCTGCGAATGGAATAGAATAGAATGGTGGAAGGGACCTGAAAGATCTTCCAGTCCAACTGCCTGCTCAGGCAGGGAACCCTATACCAGTGGTGGCGAACCTATGGCACGGGTGCCAGAGGCGGCACTCAGCACCCTCTCTGTGGGCACATGCGCCATCGCCCCAGTCCTAGGCCTTCAGCTGGGTTTTATAAAACCTTTTAGCTTTAGGCCTCCACTGCCGTGTGCAAAAAAAAAAAAAGGTTCAATCAATCAGTCAATTCCAACTTCTCGCGGGGAAAAAAAAGATCTTGCAAAGTTGGAATTGATTGATTGAACTTTTTAGTCCCACCCAGTCTGCCATTACCACCGCAGCCACGCCCACCCAATGGGCCACACCCACCCGGCACCCGATGATGCATAAGTGGATTTTGGGTTGCAGTTTGGCCACTCGGTCTCTAAAAGGTTCGCCGTCACTGCCCTATACCATTTCAGACAAATGGTTGTTCAGTCTCTTCTGAAGCATTCACAACTTCTGGAGGCAAGTTCTTCCACTCAGGGCTTTTTTTGTCATAGAACGTCCAGAACGGAGTTCCGGCACCTTTTTTGGATGGAACCTTGTAGGGTAGGGTAGGCAAGGCGGGTTGTATGACGTGTGTGAGTTCTGGCACCTTTTTTTTTTTTTTTTTTTTACAAAAAAAAAGCACTGGTTCCACTGATTAATTGTTCTAATTGACATACCTCTGGACCCTATGCTGGCTTGCTGGATGATTCACAGTTTGCCCATATTGCATCGAGTTCTGGGCATCACAATACAAAAAGAATGTTTACATTCTGGAAAGAGTGCAGAAAAGAGCAACAAAAATGATTAGGGAGCTGGAGGCTAAAACGTACAAGAACGGTTACAGGAATTGGGTATACATAGTCTAATCAAAAGAAGGACTGGAGGGACACGATAGAACTGTTCCAATATTTGAGGGGTTCCTACAAAGACAAAGGGAACAACCTATTCTCCAAAGTACCTGAAAGCAGGACAAGAAGCAATGGATGGCAACTAATCAAGGAGAAAACCAACCTAGAAATAAGGAGAAATTTCCTGACAGAAATCAGTCGAATGGCTTCCCTTTAGAAGTAGGTGGTCCATCACTGGAAGTTTTCAAGAAGAGATTGGACAACTATTTATCTGAAATGGCACAGGGTCTCCTGCTTGAGTAGGGGGGATTGGACTGGAAGACCTCCAAGGTCCCTTCCAACTTTGTTATTCTGTTATCAGCTATAATATCCTACATGCACAAAACTAGGCTATTTGTGGGACCACCTTTCCCTGAGGATATCTGCCTATTCCACTATGTCAAATAGGGCACATTGCAGATCTCTTCTTTTAGACATTTAATCTTGTGGGATCTCAGATTCTCTGTAGCTGTCTCAGCCCTTTAAAACGTCTTCCACTGAAATTTGAGGGTGGGGTGAGGAGTGCTATCCTTTTAGCCTTGTTCTTCTCCCAAGCATTGGACTAGAATGGAGTTGAGTCAGGGAGTCAACAGTTTAGTGATCTGATGTCTGCTGGGAAGGGTATAGTCCGGGTATAGTCTGTTTTTAGATTGTTTTTATTGGTTGCTGTGAGCTCCTTGATCATTCTGTGAGATGACCATATACGTTCTCTTAATAAGTAAACAAATAAATGCAGGGTGGGAAGAAGGTTCTACAAAGAGAGCTGGATTGAAAGTTTGGTTCCTTGCTCAGAAAAGGCAAGCTTTTAAAAGTGGGAAGGTTTTATATTTAAAAATTGTTCTATTTGCAAAGACATCCTTATGGAGATTTCCTTTCATTGATTTATCTATTTTATTAAACATGTAGTTGGTCTTTCTGTGTGTACAGAAACACCTAAAGCAGCTTAGAATTAAAATCACAATAAAAATATAGATTGTTGTAAAAGTGATTACAATTTAAGTCAGATAATTTAAAGTTTGACACAAGAAATGTGGTTTTTGCAAAAAAAAAACCACAAAAAAACAAAAAAACAACTCAGGAGAGCAGGGGACCACAGGAGCCATAAACCACCATAGAACATTCTTTGCCAATTATTGAAAGACAGAATGTGGAAGTTTTTACGTTATTCTTACGATTTAAGCAAATGGCATCATCTCAGTAAAAAGGCACACAAATACAGTATTTCTTGCTAGTTTGAAATTGACATCATATGAATGGACAAGAGTTTAATAAGGTCTTTCAGTTCTAGTAGAAAGTAGTAATAACAGTTGGATTTTAAGATGTTTCTCATCCTTTAATTATTACTTGTATTGATACAGAAATAATAATAATGTGATTGAGATACATGTAGATAAATGTAAATGTCATGGTTCCGACTAATGAAACACTGTCAAAAAGTGATCCACGTATAAAAAAGGGTTCTGAAAGGGATTAGTATGTCCTCTTGAGTTAATAGCACAGCAATTGTTCTCTCAAAGAATTCGGCTTGATAAATAGTATATCTTCCTGTTCAGTTTTTTTTTATTTAAGATAATAACAATTACTTGAACAGAAAAATGGCTGAGCACTTTAATGCTTTATTCAATTACCTTCATGATGAGTATAAAAAGATTGCTTTCCCCTTGACATGCTTTTAAATTTTAATTTAAGTGGTTTTAGAGCAAACTGGAAGTGAGAGAATGCCTCCGTAGAAACTGTAGGCAATCAGTGCTGACAGGTTAAGAACTGATATATGCCTTTAATATCCACTTCAGGGTGAGAATATTTCAGTTTAGTTTCAAAGTGATCTTTAATAAATCATGTAGTGCTTTGTCAAGTCAAACCTATTTTGAAAGCTGAAGTTTAGGGAACTGAAAAATATTGCAGCAGATGTGACACAAAATCTGAAGTGTTAATAGAAGGATAGTAACGAAGCAAACTGAATGTTCAAATTAATATCCATTTATCACGCTAACTCCAAAGCCTATTTCTGGAGTCCATATGCAAATATTATATTTGCAATTAACTGCTGGCCTGCTCAGTTTCTGCCTGGGGAAACTTGGGTTGGTTTCTGCCTCCCCTAAGATTTTTTTCTCCATTATTCCTTTGGGGAAATATAATATTCTGTCTTTTTAAATATCCCCCAAAATATTTCTTTTTCTGGGGCGGGGGAGTGCTGACTTCCAACAAAACTTAATTGAAATATATGCAGCTTTTTGTTTTAAATTAAGGCCCATTCTCATGACATGGTTGTGCTATTTCAGAGTAGTAGTTTTCTCATTCCTTTCTGAACCAAATAAAATTAGACTCTAATGCGATTTCCATATATTGGTTTAGCACACCCACTGTGATTATTTAACCATGGGTTATGGATTAATGTGTTGTATAATTGTAGCTTCTTGGCATTTCTCATTATTCTTTTTTCTCTTCTTTCCTCTTTCCCTTTTTCCTTCTACTCTGAGCAATTATTCATCTTCAGCTGCCTCCCCCATTGAATTACTGTCTTCCCAAACTTGTGCATGTTGATTAATTTACTTGCAATCTCTTTCTTTCTTCTCTTGGCTTTTCAACTTCAGCTTATCTAGCAGTTCTAAATCTTTATCTGTGATGAAGTTGGTTTGATTACTTGATTGTAAGCAGCTTCTAGGCTGGATGGGCAGCATATGATATAAATAAATAAATACATAAATAAATATGAATATGGTGAGTATTTGTACATGGGAAGGGAAATTGCCCATACACATTGCTCACTCTACAAGTAACATATGCATTTTAAGCATTGCTTATGTTTTGTAGAAAACTCTGTAGAGTATCCCACTGTGATTAGCAGCTCCAGAAACTGCTGGTCCCAATGTTGCTTTTAATCTTGTGTCATTGCTTTTCAGAATCTTAGAGCCAATTATCAGAATGTGAAAAATTAATAATACAACAGCAAAACATAATAAGTATTATATGCAATACAATTAAATGTAAGTATAATGAATAACATAAATGCAGTAGCACTTTTTTTTAAAAAAAAAGTCTTTTCCTAATTATTTTAAATTAATGTTTTAATGACCACCCAAAGTATGCAGAAATAAATATATTTAATGTAGTATTATTTGTTCCCACATATGCTGGTTGGCTAATTGAAGATTTGGCTGAGCTGTAGTGCATAGCATTCTTGCTGATACCATGGCATGTTGCTTACTACTTTCTGCTCTGAGACAGTTGCTGAAGCCATGCACACAATGGTATCCTCTACAACAGGGGTGTCAAACTGCCGGCCCGTGGGCCGGTTTCATCATACTGAAGCCACGCACACCCCATTGCCAGCAATGCAAAAAGAGTCACGATACATCACGACACATCATGTGACGTGGTTAGTTTGACACACGTGCTCTACACCTCCTTAGCTCCAATGACATATTGAATAGGTAATAGTAGCATTAACAGATCCTAACTTTCCATCCCTCTGGGATTTCTGCTTATATCCACCTTCTAAAAAGCAGGACATATTGCTTAAGTGTGTATTCTATGTATGGCTCCAAGAGCTTGTCCATTATGCTAATTTGTAGGTTTTTGTTGGTGATGTGTGAATGCACCCCAGAAGGATGCCAACAAACCAGAATTTAAATCCAATGCTAGTGGGCAAAACATGTGTTAGATTTCTGTGCAACTGAAATGATCTGATCTTGTGCTTTATTGCAGTGAAAAGTTAGATAGGGTAAAAATAGTGGCTTTCTTTTATGTTTAGTGGGTAAGTTTTAATTTACATTTCTGGATCAATTTTACAGAAAGGAATGTGAGCTTTGGACAGTATGTTTTTTATATCCTTTGTTCTAAAAGCT